CAAATTTCGTGCAAACTGGATTTAGGCTTTTTACCCCATGCGGCGTTTTGCCCCACGTTACCCTATGTTTTATGTTTAAACATTTTCTTTCTCCGTTTTTGTTTTTATTTATTTACTTATTTGTTTAATTTTGTACTACTGCTTTGCATGGCTGTACAAATTTCTGTGTCGGCCAGAAATAATAAAAAAAATACATGGCTTGTTTAGATCTATGCATTTCATTGTGAACGAACCATTTTCAAATGTAAACAGTTCTCTCAAGTCATGCAATTTGGTCTTCACCTGTGTTATCAGCTTGCCCATAATGAAGATGGTCACCTGTTCTGATAGAAACATTTTTGATACCTGCTGAAAACGGTAAGTGTGTCCACCAGAAAAGCGATAAATTTAAAATTGTTGATATTTAACAGGGATGCGAGGTAACCGCTGGCTTCTTTGTTTTTGCAAGTTTTGAATAAAAAAAACCAGGCGATGCCACGATGTCACGACGGCATTCAACATGTTAGAATTGAACTGCGTTCAGCGAACCTCAAAGAGTTTTAGCAGTGACATTAGGCAACAGTTATTGTTTTCCCCAATATCTTTCAAATGCAGAAAAGTGAAAAAAAAGCTCAGGCTACTAGTTTAATTTCTGAAATGTTTGTTCGACTTCACTAACGCTGCTACATGTAGACTTTCATGCTAGATTTGATCTATGGACGCTCCACAACACTTAAAGCTGTCATCAACAGATTCTACATTTTCCTCAAACAATTTTCAAAAACCAATTTTATAATTTTATCGTCTATGTTTACCGCTGCACCATCAGTAACTACAGATGAAGCGTGTTTGAAAACATGTTTCACTGCTGCGTCCCTAATTTTCTGCTGCATGGCTGCTAAAACTAAAGTACGAAGAAAGGAAAACACGAATTTAGATACGAACTGTATGAAGAACTTACGAGTAAAACACTACGACTGAACGTTAATAATTTAATAAGATGATTAATCGATTTGATACAGTGTACGTCAAACGTCTGATTTACGTTAAGGAAATATAAGTAATAAATAAGTAAACAAATTAAAGTTTTTCGCTGAGGCAAACACGAAAGCCTATACATTTGATTCCACACTTAGTTTCATCAAATGTATTGAAAAAATTTTATTTTTTGTTGAAAATATATCAACTGATTAAATAATGTAATAGTTTATAACCATTGAATAGTCTTTAAAACCTTGACTAAACGATTGCGGTTGAAAGTGTATACAACCTTGAAACGATACAATCGAACAAGTGTCGAAACGGAAGTAAGAGTAAGTAAAACGTGAACAACTCAATAACGAAAAAATTGAAAATATAACCTTCGCAAGAAAATAGATGGAAATTATGGAATGAAGTATCACAATGAAAAATTATTAATGGAAAAATATTTACAGGACTTACGAATAAGCTATATGCATGAAAACAATTATTTACAAACAAACGAAACTATTTACATACAAGAAACTATTTACATACAAAATGCTTTTGACATAGTTTGCCAAAACTAATTACACAACCCAAGTTCGCTGTGTGAAGAAGTAGTCATAAATTTATTGCATTGCACTCATCAACTTGTCTGGTAGAAACATCTGATCTATGGGCACATGATGTTGAGAAACAGCTCAATGACTTGAGGACTGTATGTTATTTGGTGTTCTGTCGGATCAATGAGCGGGCAAAGGAAGTGTTGTTCTTTCGAATAACTAACTTCCTCCTACTTAAAATATTAATTACAGAAAATTTTAAGTTCAAAAGTTCTATCCATTTTTAAAAAATATCTTGTCATAATTTGTTTTTTCAGATGCCAAACTAATAACTCTGACACTGATAAAAAAAAATACTCGAATGATACCCGAGAAAACCTCAGATGATCCTCAAATGCAGAGGTTATTTTAAGATTTTTTTAAATGAAAATCTCAGTAACAAAATGGTCTGATGTTTTATTGATAACCTCATTTTGTGCACCATCAGACTGTTGCATATTTGCCGATCTTAATGCAGAAAATGTACGTCCAATGTCACAGTTGTTCGACAAGTTGCAGCCGGATATTGCCATTCTTCAAAAAAACAAAATCGAAATTTTAAAGCTTACAATTTGCAACAAAACCAACCTAGCTTCCTCACGTGAATACAAACGCTAAAATATAAAATACTGGAAATTAAACTTAATTTCAGTCTATAATAACTGTCCGTTAATTATTAATTCATTTGAAATATCGCTTGTGGGTTTTATAACATTTTTAATCTAACTTTGTTTAAAATATTATGGCCGAAATCTTTTAATGAAAAATTGATTATCGCGGTAATTCGCTCGTCATATAGCATATATTGTGACAGAAATATTAATTAACCGATTTTAAATATATTTTTTTATTCTCAAACACTTTTTGATCAAAGAGCATGAGAGGATCGTACATTATATTTAACATCTTATTTATTTACACTCTGATAATTATAATATAATATTTATAATATAATTAATAATATTCGATTGATTTCATTTGGATTTTATCTTTTCGGTAAATAAAAAAATGTTCCCATCATCATAACCATCATCAACAACAACAACAACAGCATCATCATTACCGTTCTTAGAGGAACTTTCATAATCACTACGGCCTTTTTTTCGGTCATCATCAACATTTCGAAATTCCGTCAAGCTGGCATAAGAAGTATAAAAAAACATCTGAAAAGTGAATCTCTAACAATTTTTTTGTGATTTGCAAAACTCAAAATTTAGGGGGAAAAAATCATTTTAGATCTTTCAAAAGTAATTAATACGCTTTCGGTTTTCGGATACTTACCTATTTACGAGTTACGTATTTAATTTTTTTCAAAATAGAATTGAAAAACAATTTAAAATATAAAATACAGAAAATTTTAAGTTTAAAAGTTTTATCAATTTTTTTAAAACATCTTGTCATTTTTTGATTTTTAAGATTTTTAATATTTGAGATCTGACACTGATAAAAAATGATACTCCAATGATACCCGAGGAAACCTCAGATGATCCTCAAATGCAGAGCTTATTTT